GTGTTTTGTCTTCTAGGCCTCCAACACTCGAGTGCTAAAAGGGGGAGATGGGACAAGCAGCGGCCAAAGTCTTCTCTAGCTCTGATAGGTGTAAATGCTGGTATCAAGTTATGTGGCAGTGGGGTTTATCCTATTCACACAAGAGTGCCCCGCTTCCCCAAACCCTCCAGAGGACCACCTGCCTCAGATCCTGTGGGAGCCCAAGATTCCGCAAACACCGCTCAGCGAAGTAGAATGCAGTGCCTGTCCCCCTACTCCCCTGCCTCCTGCGTTCCCTGCCACAGGTCTGAGGTTCTGCTTCTCCCCTCACATCTGCATCCGGCCAGTTGCCACATTTGCCCACTCAAGGTCCCCAGTGTCCCTGGACCTCATTCATGTCTCTCGTCCTCCTCGTCCTTCTGTGGTTCACACTGTGACACCTTCCATCTTCCCAAGCCACCGACTCTCAGTCTTTGTATTAAGCGGGGTACCGGCCAAGCTGCCTCCAGAACAGAGAACCCCAAGTCAGCATCCGTAGCCAGAGCGGCTTTATTTCCTCGAGTATGACCCGTGATGTCTAGTGGGTAAGAATCTCTGCTCCATGGAGCCATCCAGGACCCCGGATTCCTTCATTCGTGTTCCTCAGGGCAGGGAATGGCAAACTTCCTATGAAAGGGAGAGTAAATACTGTAGGCTTTGAGAACCACGTGAGTTCTCATCACAGCCATCCAACTCTTCTGTTTGAATTAAAAGCAGCCACAGACAGCAGACACATGACTGAGTGTGGCTGTGTTCCAATCAAATTTTATCGACAAAAATTGATAGCTCGGTAGTATTGGTCAGCAGGAAGTTTGCCAGTCTCTGGCAAGTTTCTAGGGTCCTAGAGAGTGACCCTCAACTCTATGGTTGAAGCTGTTTCTCTATGGTCATCACTACACTCAAGAAAAAGAATGGAAAGAGGGACAAGAAGCTTCCCTCCAGTGAAAGGATTTCTCTTCACCTCTGCTCAAATTGCATTGGCTAGAACATAGTCACGTGACCACACCTAGTTGCAAAGGCATCTGGGAAATGTAGTCTGTACCTAGGCAGCCTTATGCCTCACTAAGCTTCAGAGGATCCCGAAGTAGAGAAGATCACACAATGGGGACCGCTGGTAACAGTCTTGACCATAGTCGCTAAGCCTACAGTTCCAGCCAATTTCTCTCTCCCTCTTCCAGGCCATTGTCCGCCCGCTGATCATACTGTTCCTGGGTTTAAGATTTTTCAATGGTTTCTGGAATCACAAAGCCATTCAACAAATACTTGTTGATTCTTGTTGTGTGCAAGGTAATATGCCAGGGAATGGGGGCCCACTGATGAGAAAAATTTTAAAAGTGTAGTCTTTGCCTGCATCGAGCTTTCCGTGCAAAGGGGGCACTATCACTCCTCACTCAGCCCGCTAGGTCCTCAGTGACTTCCGCCCTGCCCCGCTCTAGCCGCGTCTCAGTAGCCCACCCTACAGCCTCAGCACAAGCACACCATGCTCGTGCGCCCGAGCCCGTGCTGGGGTTGCCGCTCCGGGGGATGCCGCTTCACTCTGTATGCCGGCCTCTGTCTGCCGCCCAGCGAGCCCTGCAGCCGCTCACGAATGACGCAAGCGCCGTGCTCTCTGGGAAGTTTCCTGTCCGTTCTGGGCTCCAGGCCCCTCTTCCCCATCACAGCCTCGCTCACTCCGATCTGTAATTGTATTTTCTTAAGGTAGCTTCAAAGTCCCCCACCAACACAGGACTCTGGTTTATTCACTTTACATCCCGAGGGTCACGCGGCGTGGCTTACAAAGATGGGGCTGAGAGAAAAATCCAGAAGAGAGGAAGAAACAGAGGGAAGGAGGGAGGGGTGGAGGGGAGATGAAAAGAGGGAGGAGGAAGGGAGGAGTTAGGCTGCCCTCCAGGTCCAAACGCTTGACAGGTCCCACCCTGCAAGTAATTCCTGAAGTTTGACCATTAAGAAGAAGAAATTAATGAAGTGTCTACTGACGTTCCTAAGTCTGGAAGATGACAGCTTTAACTTTTATTTTTTCTGTTTTCTACCCCACCACATTTTCCCTTGTCTCCTCTTCCAACACTTTATTTATTTCTATTTAATGATGATACAACTCACAGTCCTTTTGTCTTGCCCTTAAACTTCTGAATTTTTAATCAAGTAATGTAAACTTAATTTTTTTTTTTTTTTTTTTTTTTT